GCTGCATGTCGTGGGATTGAATATCGGAAGGGGTAATAGCTGCTAGGGACCGGTGGGGTGGACGTGGGCTGATCGAGAGACATGAGGGGGTGGAGACAAGGCAGGTCCTTTGTGTCGCCGTGTGGGTCGCTGTTCTACCATTGGTGTGTGGCGAGCCGCCGTTGTGAAATGGAGAAAGGGGGAGAACGCAGCGGGTTGGGCTCTAGAAGAAGGATTGGATACGAGGGAAGGTCAGGGAAGCACTTGTTTATGACGAGGTGTGCTAGGACCTGAAGTATGGTTGCATCGCCCCTGTGAGACTGCCGGGAGGACCCGCAGGGACAGGGAGCGGCTGGAACCGTTGGGCTGAGGAGTTACAATGGTGGCGATAGGAGAGAAGCGTCTTATGTGAAGTGTCGAGTGCGGTGACGCAGTGAGGTTGGGGAGTGCAGAGTGTGTGCCTGACACCCTGCTCGAGAAAAAAAAAAAAAAAAAAGAAGTCCCTTTCTTCCTAGTTTGCTAAGTATTTTTTTATAATCATGAAAGGGTGTTGAATTCCCCTCATTCAACTAATATAGTGTATTACATTGATCAATTTTCTTATGTTGAACCACCCTTGCATTTCTGGGATAAATTCCATTTGGTCATGGTGTATAATCCTTTTAATGTGTCCTTGGAATTGGTTTGTTAGTATTTTGTTGAAGCTTTTTACATCAATATTCATAAGGGATATTAGTCTGAAGTTTTCTTTTATTGTGACATATTTGGCCATAGTATTACGGTAATGAGGGCCTCAGAGAATGTGTTAGGAAGTGCTTCCTCCTATTCTATATTTTGGGAAGAGTCTGAGTATTAACTCTTTTTTTAAATTATTATTATTATTTTTTAGTGTGGTAAAATATACAAAACAAAAAATTTAGCATTTTAGTCATTTTTAAGTGTAGAAGTCACTGGCATTAAGTACATTCACATTGTTGTGCAACCATGACCACTCTCCACCATCAGAACTTTTTTCATCTTCCCAAACTGAAAATCTGTACCTATTAAACACTAATTCTCCACCTCCCTCCCCCATCCCCTGGCAACCATACTTCCTGTCTCTATGATTTTGACTACTTTAAGTTCCTCATATATGTGGAATCCTACAGTATTTTTTCCTTTTGTGAGTGCCTTATTTCACTTAGCATAATGTCTTTAAGGTTCATCCACATTGTAGCATACATATGTCAGAACTCCCTTACCTTCTGAAGGCTGAATAAGTCCCTTGTATGTTTCATACCACATTTTGTTTACCCATCCATCTGTTGATAGAAACTGTGGTTACTTCCACTTCTTGGTTACTGTGAATAATGCTGCTATCAACACGGAGGTATGAATATCTGCTTGAATCCCTACTTTTAATTATTTGGGGTATGTACCCAGAGTGGCATTGCTGGATCATACTGTAATTCATTTTTACTTTTTGAGGAACTGCCATACTATTTTCCATAGTGGTTGCACCATTTTACAATCCTACAACCAGTGCACAAGGTTTCAATTTCTCTACATCTTTGCCAACACTTATTATTTTCTTTTTCTATCTTTTTTGTTTTTTAAATAATAGCAATGCTACTGGGTGTGAAGTGGTATCTCATTGTGGTTTAGATTTGCATTTCCCTAATGATTAGTGATTTAAGTATCTTTTCATGTAATAATTGGCTGTTTTCCTTGGAAAATTGTCTATTTAAGTCCTTTGCCCATTTCTTTCTTTTTAAATTTTATTTGCTTTTATTATTATTTTAAATTTACACAATAATTGCACATATTTATGGGGTACAGTATGACATTTTGATACATATATACAATGTGTAATGATCGAATCAGGGTAATTAGCATATCCATCATCTCCGACATTTATCATTTCGATGTGTTGGGAACATTAAAAATCTGCCCTTCTAGCTGTTTAAAATATGCAATATTCCAGTTCAGGGGTCAGTATAAAAAAATAAATAAATAAATAAAATAAAATAAAATATGCAATAAATTACTGTTAATTATAGTAACCTTACAGAATACTAGAACTTATTCCACTGCTCTAGTTGTACTTTTGTATCTGTTCACCAGCCTTTGGCCATCCCCTTCCCCCCAAACCCTCACCTGCCTCAGTAACCAGTATTCTACACTCCACTTCCGTAAGAACACCGTTTTTAGCTTCCACATATGAGTAAGAATGTGAGGTATTTATCTTTCTGTGTCTGGGTTAGTGTACTTAACATAATGCCCTCCAAACTCATTCATGTTCCCACAAATGACAGAGTTTTCTCCTTTTTATGGCTAACTAGTATTCTGTTTTGTAGCTATACCATATTTTTTCATCTGTTCATCGTTGATGGGTACTTGGGCTGATTCCATACCTTGGCTACTGTGAATAGTGCTGCAATAAACATGGGAGTGCAGGACCTCTTCAACATGCTGATTTCCTTTCCTTTCGATACATATCTAACATTCAGTGGGACTGCTGAATCATATGGTAGTTGTATTTTTATTAATAATTTTTTGAAGAGCCTCCATATGTTTCTCATAATAGTTAACTAATTTATTTAATCCATTCTCACTAACAGTATGTAAGAGTCCTCTTCTCTCTGTATCATCACCAGCATTTTTTCATCACATCTTTTGATATGATATCTCACTGTGGTTTTGATTTGCATTTCACTGATGATTAGTGAAGTTGAGCATTTTTAAAATATGCTTGTTGGCCATTTGTATGTCTTCTTTTGAAAGATGTCTATTCAACTCATTTGCCCATTTTTTAGTGGGATTCTTTGTTTTTTTGTTGTTGAGTTCCTTGTATATTCTGAATATTAATCACTTATCAGATGAATAGTTTGCAGATAGTTTCTCCCATTCTCCAGGTTGATCTTTACTCTGTTAATTGTTTCCTTTGCTGTGCAGAAGCTTTTCAGTTTGATATAATCTCATTTGTCTATTTTTACTTTTGCTGGCTATGCTTTTGAGGTCTTCTCCATAAATTCTTTGCCCAGATCAATGTTCTCAAGTGTTTTCTTTATATTTTCTTCCAGTAGCTTCATGGTTTGGGATCTTACATTTAAATTTAAACCTTTAACCCATTTTGATTTGATTTTTGTATATGGTAATAGATAGGGGTCCAGTTTCATTTTTTGCCATATAGATATCCAGTTTTCCCACCACCACTTATTGAAGAGAGTGTCCCTCCACCAATGAATGTTCTTGATGTCAGCTCCTTGTTCCTGTGACTCATGCTAAACATGGCTGTCATCAGCGACTACCAGTAACGTCACCGCCATGACTCCCAAGGCTTAACTTCACACGGCCCACTCTGCCCATATCACCTATCCTTCCAGCTCACTTCCTCAAGTACTGCACCCAAAAGCCTCTTATCCTCATGAGAACCTACTCCAATAGCCTTGCCCTCACCCCCTCTGTCCCCACCTCCCTCTGTCCCTAGCTCTGTCCCACACCCAACACTATAACCACTCTTATAGTCACCCTTCTCTCCTTCCTTCACTTTTCTGGGAAACCCCAAATCTGGAGAACCTGCTTCACCACCCCTGGTACTGACAAGCGAACGTGGCTGGAGAAAAGCACCAACTGTACTGGCTGGGCCCACCCGAGGGTTGCAGCCGTGAATTTGTAGCGCTCCCTCCGCACTGCCCACCGCCAGGAGCAGCTGTCTGTCCCTGCCATGCTCCTCACCACTCCCCACCTCAAACTCACTGCGACAGGGCTGTGCTCTCGCCATGCTGGTGCAGACTGTGCTCGCCAAGCCCACCAGTGGCCTCCCCCATTCCACATGCAACCAGCAGGCTCAGTTGTCATCATATTTTCCCTTGCAGGGATGTTTCACGTGGTTGATGACTCCTTCCCGCTGAGGTAACTTCTCCGCTCGCTTTGGGGCACTGCCCTCTCCTGGTTCTCCACCTGCCTCACTGGCTGCTCCTTCTGGACCTTCGGATCCAGGGCTCCTCCCTGTGTCCCAAACACTCACGCGGCAGAACGTTTAGCCTTCTTCTCAATTCATGCTCTTTCCCTTTGTCAATGTTCCTCAAAGCTTAGCTCACACAGAACCATCTAGAGAGCTCGTTGAAACTCAATGATTCCTGGATCCATCTCCCAGAGATCCTGATTACAGTAAGCCTGGGGAGGGACTCGGGGATATGCATGTCTAACAAGCACTCAGGTGCCGCGTAAGCCACTGGCCACTGGGCCACACTTTGCACAGCAGAGTCCTAGAGAACATTGCCACCCCATAAATACGCCACACACCAGTGACGACTCATTGACGTCTCTGGCCCAGAGTTCTACCAGGCACCTCTATTCTCTTTATCCCCAACCTAACCTCACATCTGCAGCTCTCCAATCTTTCCATCTGGGAGGAAGAACCACTCATCCCATCACCCCAAAGAGCCCCAGGATATGGCTTCCTTTTTCCTCCCCACTCATGCCCATATCCAATCACCAATCACAACAGCTCTCCCTGTAAAATGCAGCCCAATCTCACCTAATTCCTTCACCTCCCCCTTCTCTAAGCCACGGTTACCCACAAGGGTCTTCCTACTCACTCTACAGCCCCCCTGCCCCCACCTGCACAGAAGCCAGAGTCAGGCTGCAGAACACCAAGCAGATCACGTCGCATCCCTGCTCAAAGGCTCCTAGGGACTTCCGCTGACTTGGAATAACATCACCACTCCTGGGACCTGGCCTGCCTATGGCTCCAGCCTGATCCCACTACGTTCCGGGCTCACCCACAGGCATGCTGGCTGGAGTGCTGCTTCTTCACGTCCTACCACCACAGTGATGTATTTCTAAAAGCTGGAGACCAAGGGACAATCGCCCCCGAGATGTCAACCCTGCCATGGAAGTTGAGGCAGGGACCTCAGGAGCTCGTTGCTGAGGGTCCATCATCTCCCAGAACCAGGTCATGGTGCAGGACACGAGGGCCCCAGTGCGAGCTGAGCTGGGCAATACGGCGCTGGGGTGGCACAGGGGCCAGGACTCACCAGGAAGGAGCACAGGAAGATGAAAGAGACGAAGTAGAAGTAGGCAAAGTCACTCCCACACTCACTGGCGCTGGCCCGCTCATCACAGGCCCGGTTGCTGAGACAGTCCAGCATGATCTCATGCCAGGCTTCCCCTGTGGCACTCCTGGGAATAAGGGCAGAGCCGTGAGGTCCAGCCCACAGGGGAAGGCCCAGGAAGGGAGGCTCCCGCTTCACCCAGTGCCCCAGCCAGCCGGGAATCGGGGAGCCCAGCCCTGAGGACAACTGGGCCAAGCATACTCCCTCTGGGCTCCTTCCCACAGAGCCCCACAGGTGGACACGTGCCCCAGGTGGACTCCTGACCTCCTCCCAAACACGTGCCAACCCTGTCTTTTCCATTTCAAGAAATGGTGACTCTGCCCCTCCTGTTGCTCAGGCCAAAAATGCTGGAATCCTCACTTCCTCTCTTTCCACATCTGTTTATCAGCTCATCTTCCTTCGAAAACCAGCTGGACTCACCACCTCTCACCACCCTGGGCCAAGCAACAATGACCTTCCTGGAGTTGTGACAGCTCCCTAACTGATCTTCTTGCTCCACCCTACCCAGCAGCCCAGTGGGTCCACGAAACACAGGTCTCATCACATCAATTCTCCTCTCAAAGCCCTTAGTGACTCCCTCATTCACCACAAGAACCAAATGCACAGGACTGCCACAGCCCTGTAGGGCCTGCTGGCCATTCTTTGCCCAACTTCATTCCCTGCCTCGGTCCCTGCTCAGTCCACTCTGGCCACACCAGCCCCACTGCTTCTTGAGATAGCTCCACCCTGGGCAGCCCTGCCGGGACTCTCCTACTTGGACTTTACTTGGACCTACTCTCCTGAGCACACGGCCAGCACCAGAGGTTTAGAGGGTGCAGGTGGGTCAGAGGTCTGGGCCCCACCTGTATGTCTATGCACGGCCAGCCCTAGGCAGGAGCTGGGCCCACTCCCCGCTGACGATGGCCAGGAAGAGGGCCATTGCAGCTGCTACCAGGGAGCAGAGGCAAGGCCGCGGAGGCCAGCCTGGCCCGGGCTCCCAGGCTGACAGTCTGTTCTGAGGCCAGGGCAGGCATCAAGAGCCCTTTGGAAAGGGTAAGCAGAGAGAGGAGAAGGACTGGAAGGCCCGCCAAGGGGAGGCCGGCGTGATTTCGGGATTGGGGGTGGTCCCCATGGGTTGGTACCCACACCCCTCCATCCTGAGTGAAGGGGCCCCTGATGGAAGAGCAAATGTCAGCCTGGGCTGACCAGCAACACACCTGAACAGCAGCATCAAGGCCTGCAGAAAGGTCTGGAAGTTGTTGTGCCGGTTGATGCTCGTGTCATCGTCCAGGGCGATGTTTCCAAACACCTGAAACGCAGAGCAATGGCGCGCTGGCACCGTGGGGTCCTGGAAGCCACGGACACAGATAAGCAAGAGGGGTATGCGTGCAGCGACAGGGACCTCAGCAGGGAGCTCCCACTCAAGGTGCAGGTGGCCTCCAATGACGGAACACACCGCTCAGCACACGCTGGCTTTGCCCGTGAGCCTGTCCAGGGATGCGGGTCCAAGTCAGCATCCATGGTGAGAACGGGGCTGGAGCTGAGCCACAAGGGCTCTGCTACACGTAAGACAGGAAGCGGCTTCAAGCTCACTCTCTCATTAACGATTCCAAAGCAGTAATTATACTGCTAACAGCTCTGATAGGTCACTGAAAAATTTCTTTTGAAATTTCTGTGCAAATAGCACAACGGGCTTTTTATCCATCTTAATTGATTTTTTTCAGCATGAGAAATAGAAATGGGTGAATAAACTGTACTTAGCCTAAAACTCTGGCTGGAAATTTATGAAGTATCTCACTTGCACAAAGATCAGCAACACGCATGCTCTTACACACGCACAGACCAAAGTGGGGAGAAATATATATTTAAAATAGCATCAGATCTCAGCAAATTATAAAATGAGAACTCTTCAATCCCTGAAACAGAGTTAAAGACAGTTTTTGGCTAACCTTGAAGATATGGGCCCCACCCCCCCCCAACTGTAAATTAACATTTGGGTCCATATCCCAATCTTAGTGTCGGAAAGTGGTCAGATGCCAAGGATTTATAACCGGGATGCTGCTTTACGTCATTTAAATGTTTTCTCCCAAGGAGTTGACAGAGTGCTCTTTGGCAAAACAAAGAAAATCTAAATTATGAAAACTAAATTTGTCGAGCATGAAGATCCGACGTGACCCTGCCCACACTCCCAGGCAGTTTTCCTCAGTAGCACATAACCTCCGCCAAGGATCAGGGGCTGCCCTTCGGAAATGCTGCCAGACTGACAGAGCGACCACCCAGCGCCCCGCAGGTGCCAGCACAGTGCAGATGTGCGCAGACACCCGCCCCTGTGTGGGCAGCACCCACCCGAGTGGCCCCAGCACCCTAGCACCGCCGGCCACAGGCCGCCCAGCCCTTGAGAACACGGCAGCATGTCCACCAGCACAGGGCTGGGCTGCCCCTGCCAGCAGGGCCCTGGGCATGCAGCCCAGCCCCATCTTTCTGAGGACGAAGTCAGTTCATTAAGTGCCGACAACAGCATCTTGCTTGTAGTTAAGGTCTACTAAGCCTGACGACCATGACCCAGCCCCTCTTGGCCCAGTGGACAGGAGCCCTGTGTCCGCCCCCTGGCCCCATGGGGAGCACCCACCTGCATCCCGATGATGGCGTAGATGAAGAAGAGCATGGCGATGAGCAGACACACGTAGGGCAAGGCCTGCAGAGACCCGGACACATCAGCTCGGGGCCACACAGACCTCAGCGGACCCAGCTCCACCCACTGACCACCAAGTGGCCACCCCTGTTTCCCCATCTGTGAATTGGGATCACAAAGCTCAGGGCTCCTGTGAGCACTAACAGGGAGATCTACGGATAACCACGACTGTCCTTCTAAACTACAAAGGGATAGCAGGCGCACACCTGGCTCTAGACCGGCTGTCCAGGGGAGGGGCCGCCCGGGGGGTGGGGACAGGGAAAAGAAGGGGGCGGGACAGTGCCAGGAGCGCCACCCTGCCTGCCACGGTGCCGCCTCACCTTGAAGGACTGGACGAAGGTCCACAGCAGGATGCGGATGGTGTAGCCCTGGCGCAGCAGCTTGATGAGCCGCGCCGCACGGAAGAGGCGCAGAAAGCTGAGGTTGATGAAGTTGTTCTGCAGGGAAGGAGGGTGCGCTTTGACCTTGGGAAATTGTCCCCAGGCAAGCTGCTCCCACCCCACAACCTCTTCCCAAGCCCCCGTGGCCCTGAAGAAAAGTGGTTACAAAGAGGGCTTAAAAGAAAAAGTCTCCGTTTCACAGTCTAAGCAGCAATCGGCCATAAGAAAACCCTCCAAAAGTAAAGCTTGACCTTGCACGTCACTTCTCATGCAGCAAATCAGAGAAAATCCCTTTGCCCTGAGACCCTTCCCACCACTGACAGTGAGGGACAGAAAGGAAAGCTCCCCCCAGCAGCTCCCTGCTGCCAGGTGGAACAGGCAGGAGGCCACCTGTGGCTGGGCCTCCCACGTGACCCCAGCAGGACACAGACAGGCTGTGCGTGTGCCAGACACGACTGCTCCTCCACTGAGCACCCCGAGGGGACCCCTCCCAGGCTCGGTGGCCACACCTTTCCCTTCCCAGCTCACCAGCAAAGCCCCTGACTGCCTGTGACCCCCGCCAGGACCCAGCAGAGGGGCAAACGTTTCCTCCGGGGCTGCTCCAGGCACCTGCAGACAGGTCTCGGAGCTGCAAATATGGCTGCTCTGCGGCACAGGATACAGACACCACCTCTGCAACCTGAGTCCAGCAGGGCTCTGCTCTGGAGAACTGGGACACCCAGCACGGCTCCCTCAAGCACAAAGGCAACCGAGGAACCCAGACTCCACACGTTACCTGGGAGTGCGGCTGCCGCCTTGAACTACTGGCACACCCTTCAGGGAAGCCTGGCTCTGCGGGGGTGTCCGTGCACAGATGGGGTGTCTGTGGACCCAGGCGGCTCTCTGCCCTCTGTCTACTTAGGGACCAGGGCCCACACACAGTCTGAGAGCAGCTTCCTGCCATTTTGGTGTTTTTAAATATGCAAGCAGCTCAGGCTCAGACACGTTATGTAGTCAGATTCAGCCATCAGACAAAGAGAGGAGAGAACACGGTGTGGATGAGACAGCAGGAGGCGTGTGCAAGCTCAGAGGCAGGGGAGCCTGGGCAGACAGGGTGTCCTGACTCACCAGGGCCACCGTCTCACCCCAAGTGAAGCATTGGGTGGGGGGAGTCACTCTTACTTCCAGGGACAGTGGCTAACTGGTGCTGAGAGGACCCCTCTGCCTCATCTGCGCCCCACTGTCAGGGCAGGTCTCTGTGGTTCCCACCAGGGTGGCTGGACTCTGGACTCTGCAGGAACTGGCTCTCAGGCAGGATGTCGGAGCCGTGGGAGCAGAACCCCAGAGGGGTCAGCAGGCATGAGGAGGGCTGACTACAGTCCGAATCAGGAAAAAGGCAGCAGCAGACCCTCAGGGTGCGACCCTAGAGGCCGCGCAGGAGTATCTGCAGCCCCTCACCTGCTGGTGCCCAGGAAAGAAAATCTCAGTGGTGGACAAAATGGCCAAGAACTGCCCACTCAGCACTCTGGCCCGGAGGCCCCACAGATGAGCCGTGGGCACAGGGGTGGAAGAGGACACTGCCCCCACTCTGGAAGTTCTTGTACAAGGCAGGAAAGCAGAGCTGGGGGCTGGGGGCTCCCATCTTGAAGCCACCTGCTCAGTGGGTCTGGAGGGGCAGGGGCTGGGACACACAGCACCTGCCCAGCTCCAAAAGGTGACCAGGTGAGAAGGAAGGGCTGGAAGGCAACAGGGCAGGCGAAAAGGTATGTGCAGAGTGACGGTTCACCCAGACCGCTCAATGCACAAACAAAGATCCCAGCCACAGCCACTCGCTGCTCATTTTGAGACCCAGGCTCCCCCACCCGATTTCTCTCTTGGGGCTCTGGTGGGCACTCAAGAGAGGATGGGTAGCGACAGACAGGTACCCCTACAGAGCTGGGGAGACAGATGGTGATGACGACCAGAGATGCCCCAAGGCAGCGTGGTGGGCAGGCACCATGCCGAGAACATGCAGGACGGCAAGGTGGGGACACACGCTGGCCGCCTGCACTGGGCAGCTGCACCATCACCTCTGGCCTCCGCCACTTCCAGAGGTGGACACGGCCGGCCCCAGCCTCCCGGAGTCCATGGTTTCTGTTGCACCAGGAGCAGCTGCCCCTACTTCGTGGCCAGGCCTTTCCTTGCTGCCACCTGAGTCAGGAAAAGTCTAGAGCGTCCCCAAGCTGCACCACCGTACCCCTCAGTGTGGCTGCTGACTCTCGGGGGGCACAACGGTCCCCAAACCTCTCCTTAGCTTTCTCATCCATGAAATAGGGACATTAGGGACACGCACACCCCGGGTGGTGAGGAGTAGCAGAGAAGGCACCCAGCTGTCCCCAGATCTCAGCCTGCATTCCCTGCATCCAAGCCCACCTCAGCCTCTGGCCAGCAAGTGGGTTAAGGTAAGCCTCTGGCCAGCAGGTAGGTGTGTCAGCAGGTAGGTTAAGGTAAATCAAGAACAAAAACAGAAAACAAAAGAGAAAATGAGTCATCAACACAAGCAAAAACTCAAACTCTGAGTACTTAACCAGAAAATTTTAGGATTTTGGTAAACTATATATTTTTCTTAAAATGTATCAAATCAAAACACATTGTGAAAGCGAGGGCTTGTCCCGAGTACCCACTGAGCACTCAGCCCAGACCACGATGCCCGCCGTGGCCATGTACCATGCTGGTGGGGACAAGGTCCAGGAGCTGCAAACAAACTGCTCTCTACTCTTTTGTTCTAATGGGGCTGGTGACTAAGAAAAGAAAAGAAAAATGAATGTGCACATACACATACGTAATGCACAGGTGGCGTGTGCTACTACGAGACAGGACGGGGCAGCCCAGGCGGGGAGGGCTCTCCAGCACGGTGGCTGTGCCGAGGGCGGGCTGGCGTCCCCTGGCACTGCCGCAGCATCCAACACCGTCCTCTCAAAATGCAGCCTATTCCACTCCAGCTGTGAAACGCTGTGTCACAAACATCCCCTTTCAGTTAGAGGAATCTCACATAGCTGCTACTTTAGGTAAATTTCCACAGTCACAGCTGAAGTTGAATCTGCTGCCAAAGGCTGCTGCCAAATGTTGCTCTCTTCTCAAAATTCCTAGCTCTCTTCTCAAAATTCCTAAAGTCCTAAAGACCCCAGTGCACCTGCCCTCCGCACACGCGTGCCGACCAGGGGCCTGGCACACAAGCCCACGGTTCGGGAATGGGGAAGCCCTGGCTCTGCTGTTTCCTAGGCAGAGCCATGTATTCTACTCAGGCCCTAAAAGACCTCTTCCCAAACATGAAGACAAAATCTCTACACCCTGCCTGGAGCCCTGTGCCCCAGGCCTGGCCCCGAGGAAGGGTCTGTCCAGGATGGATGCCACTGGGGACCTTGCGGAGCCCGCCCAGGGAAAGCAAACCTTCCCTGTCTGCTGGCGTGAGGTGGACAGAGCAGAAGGGAGACGGTGGTGCCACAGAAACCATGGCTCACAGGCATTAGGCCAGACTCGCGTCCTGCAAAACCTCTCCAGTCTGCGCCAGTCCCAACAGGAAACTTTGCCATGAGCACCTGCCCACCACCCACTCCAGAAACCCTACCTCCCGCCTTGGCCAGGTCCCAGAATCAAACAGCTTCTGGGAGGGCCCTCAGAGGCCCCCACTGGAGCCCTGGAGCTGGGCGAGAGTCCACAGAGGCCAGAGGTGAGAGGGCGCAGCTGAATCCAACCGCAGGCCTCCGAGGGCAGGGGTCAGAGTCCCAGGGAACAGGGCAGAGAGCAGAGCAAGCACAGTGAGGGCTTTAAGAACTATTTAAAGTCACGAAACCAACCGTTTCCTATATGTGATGTTTTCATGGATGGATATTGCGTGTTATTTACAAATTGGGGTGGTTTGAGCAGCAGGTGCACAACATACAGACGGAGACATGGTTTTCACATTGTATGTTGGTTGGAGGCGTGAGTCAGCAGGTAGGTTAAGGTAAATCAAGAACAAAAACAGAAAACAAAAGAGAATGAGTCATCAACACAAGCAAAAACTCAAACTCTGAGTATTAACTAGAAAATTTTAGGATTTTGGTAAACTGTATATTTTTCTTAAAATGTATCAAATCAAAACACACTGTGAGAATCTGTAGTTATGCAGACAGGGTGGCATTCGTTTGCATTCTTGTTCGTAATGCAAATCAAGATGACTCACAGACACTTATTTTTTATTTCCAGGCAAAGAAATCAATGTCAGTTTATGTGTGCTTGCAGCCTTCTCTCTGGGTGCCTTGCTAAGCTCTATTTTTGATTTTTAGTCAGGACGGGAACTGACACTATATTTTGCTAAGGAAAAAAAGTGCATTCCACAAGTAACGTATGAAGTGCTCCAGATGAAAAACAAACAAACAAACAAAACAAACAAAAGACCACCAATCTGCATGATGGCTTTCCTTTGTCTTTTCTCCTCCAGGCAGGACAGGAAAATGACTTGAGCTCCCAGAGCAAGGGGTGAACAGGCATACTGAGCTTTCACCAGCAGCTTCTCCTCCCCACCAACCCCGAACCCCGCTGGGCATCAGGGGCTGATGGGGCTGCCGAGGAGGGCTAGCGGGACACAACCACAGGCAGCCCGGCCTTGGCTGTGCCTCGGATGGGGGAGGCTGGGTTGTTTCCACTGCCTGCACTGCAGAGGCCTCTGCTTCCTGTCGAGGCCTCTGGTTAGCATGGGTACTCCCAGCACGCCTGTGATGTCAGCCGGCACCCGCTGCCTGCACCCTCCTCTGGATGCCCTCTCAGCAGTCAGGAGTCTGGACCCTCCCCTTAGAAGAAGGTGCACACATGTAAAAGCCCCCCTAAGCTGTGTGCTTAAACACAGGGAGTGGGGATCACTTTATCTGGGTGAATAAGGATGTTTCCAAGGAGGCCCAGGAATCAGAAATGCAGCGACTCTGTTCTCCAACAGCGCTGGGGGTGCACACAGCGCGCAGGGCGGCCCCTGAGAGGCCCGCACCGCCGAGGGCTGGTGCAACCAAACTGTCTCAGGTTTTATGTTCAAGTCGCCGGTATTGGCTTTTTTGCCTGGACTA